AATGCATACATTTCAATTAGTACATGTTCGCCCGGATTTCCCAGCAATGACACCACATGTTAACTGTGAAATACGTGTGTAGGCATCATAGTTTCCACGAGTTTTTTTTTTTTTTTGTCTTCTCTAAACTTGTTAGTCACAAACTGAATCCGGTTTTTTATCAACTCAGCTTACAACGTTACTTAACTAATTACCCATTGTAAGGTGACGTATAAGGACATTGTTTTTATAATGGGTTTTCTGTACAGAAAGAGCCATAAGATTGTTATGTTCTTAGTATCAATGAACAACTCATGTTATTCTAAAATGCACGATTACTCAAGATATTTTACGTTAGTTTTTATTAGATTTTTGTGTATTCATTCTCAGTACATGTGTATTGCATATATTTGACATATATATGGTGATATACACAGATAATTTAATAAACTACGCGTGCGCACATAAATACATTTCTTAGTACGTACCCAAAAACAAACGTCGCTATTGAAATATCGAATAAATCCTAGACGTAAATAACCACATAGAATCCGCTGAGAGTACTACAATAGTGTACTGATGAACTAAGGTAATTAGTTTACGATGAAACTAAATTTAAGTTGGTCGTCACATACAATATCAAAAAACGAAATTAAAAAAAGAACATGTTTTCGTCCTTAATAGTAAAATTTAAAATACAAGCCTTTTTGCTCGTAGTCAGTGCCGAGAGTAATTCGACGGTACATCCTATCTGAACAAGTGTCCTCATGACACCATTACATATTTTGATGGTGTACTGCATCACAACGAATTACACTCAAATCGTAAGGTCGAAGCCATTGTATACACTGGCAGATTGAATATGGGTACCTCGGTCACTAACAGCATGTGTCTATGTTCAATCGAGCCTGGTTGACGCCGACATGGCGTGAAATGAAACACAGCACTGTCGTTAATGAACAAACATTTAATTAAATCTGTTAGCGTTGTCATGGTGACATAGCACCTTACAATATATTTAATTGTATATTGATGTACGCAAGTCTAGTGTGATTAGCAATTTCACGATAAATACTTAATAAGTTAACATGTGGCAATGTATGAATGCTCATGATAATTACCGTCCAACCATGCGATTATGCCGGTTTATCTATTCAACAATGGTGACTATTCCAGCGTAATCATCATGCCATGCAATATTCATGAGAACTGTGCCAAACTTAGTCCTATCTCCGTTGGGGAAAACACAACCAACCTTCCGTTACTGTTGTACTCAGTTGTGCACAATAAACTGATTGCGAACATGACGCGGAATCTTTTTTTTTAATTTGAGTCAAACGAGCCCGGTTGCGACATGTTATTTAACAGTACATGTCGCTCTTAAATATCAACTATGCAAGTAGTAACTCATTGCTTGTACTTCACCAGTTCCCGCTTTACTGTGTGGTTACCGTAACTTGCTTTTTCTTTTCAATCTTTATTGATCATTCTTTGAGAATAAATATAACGTTGAATATATCTGTTTCTGATCGACTTTACGTGAATGACAAGTTTTGTCGAAGAAATGACGAAAACTTTGAGTTTTGTTGAGCATGTAGTAATATTGTTTTGTGAAAATACATTTTGGAGATAAAAAAACAATATCGTATATGTTTTATCGTTAATTTGAAATTATTTCCTTCTATATTTTATCTGACTTACAAGATGGTTTGATTTATCCTGAAATAAATAACAAAAATAACAAAGCAGT